CAACAACACTGAATATATCGCATAAGTATCGTCAATTTCCGTGTTTTATTCGATCGTATTTCATTGAGCAGATTCAAGCTACAGGAGAGACTTGTTACAACAGAAAATGAGCAGCAACTCAAATAAGTGAATGAACGAGAAGAGAAAAAAAGATTTCAGAAGAGAAAAGCCTTGGACGGTAAAATAGTACCTACACGAAATTGAATGTAAATATGCAATTGATTCACATACCTTTGCACAAATATTGTGTGTATGCACACAAGAACGATACCATAATAAACAAAAAAAAAAAAAACAAATCATTGCGCTCTTTATGCTAACCATATTAATAAATTGTATTAAATACACCTTAGGTTGCACATGAATTTATGAATCATCGGTTAAAGCCCATATATGAAATTGGCTTCACAATATTCGCTTTTTTTGCATTCGTACCTGCGCACATTAAAACTGTATTATTTGATAAAATGATTTGTGTTTTTGTTTGGTGCGATAGTGAAATTATGCCAAATACTATACATAAATCGATAATCATGTGAACGCGAGCGCTCAATGTATCTATTTAACAACAACAACAAAGAGGAAAAATTCGCACTCGCTACTTACGTTCGATGAAATGCTTGTTGGAATTATCGTCAATTGCTCATATTTTTATTACTATAGTAATCTGTATACAGAGCCATTAATTTCGATGGATAATTTGTGATTACATACCGTATACACGTGGTTATCTGGTATTCATACGCAAACATACAATCTGCATTCACTATCACACCATCGTAAAATCGACGATACAATAAAATACAAGATAAATTATTAACGTGAATAAATGTGAAGCGAACACATATCATTTGACACAATTTATTTTCGACTAGTTGATTATGTCACATCTCAGTGAGGTGGTCAAGCACACCACTTATATCCTTCTTCACCATATCATTCCTAATTCATATTTAAAAGAAAACATAAAGTTCATATCAATCAGTTAAACATGTAAGAATCACTCTACGTGTCTTAAATCTTCATAAACATGAACAAATCTCCGTATCTGATCACAGTCAATTTGGCATTTTTCTCTCGCTCTCTTCTTCTTCTTTATATAAAAACGTAATAAACAAATGATTAAGCTATCTTTGTATTGTGATAATCAAGTTTTTTTTTCTTATCAAATCCATTAATACTTTGAAAAATACCAAGTGATCACATAGCAAATGCGTTGAAAGAATGCGCATCAACAACGGTGCAATGAACGCAATATTTCTATAAAACTTCAAAAAAAAAGAAGAAAAGAAATGTCGGTAAAGAAAAAGAAAAAAAGATGCAACAATTTATGAAGAGTGGAGTTGATGGTCACGCAACGCTTGGCTTGAATTCGTGGTATGTTTTTATATGTGAATGTATTTTGCAGTGCACATATAACACGCATCGTGATCGTTGTTCGATTTTGATTGTTGAATTTTTATCAGTTTGTTATGTTTAGCTTCCAATTTTCCGATATAAAACTTCAATTGCCGTTCCGTTTTTTTTTTATTCATTCATTTCAATTTCTTTTTCTTCTCGTTTCTCTTGCAAAATTCTGCGCCGATCATTGGCATCGGCATTTATTAATATGCTGCAAATATATGTATATTTTGTAAGGTTCATTCCACATTAATTGTATTTGATGAATACTGATGATGAATCGTGCAATGCAACCACTGCCACCGTTCACACGCATTTACTTTTACCGATCATTCGAATTCATTGAAATGCATTCAATTATATATTATTGTTGCTGTTTTGTTCGTTTTCGTTTCATTCGACACTGCAAGTGAATGATATTTTATAGCGATAAGTTTATCACTTGTAATTTGGTTCAATGTTGTTGCCAAAGAGAGAATAGAATTTTGTTGATGGCATTCAATATCATGTGCCTTTTTTATTATACGAGATTCAAATATTTACAAAGCACGATTGCGAAATCAAAAATTCTTCAAGCAAGAATTCAAGTTTTTTATTTTCTATCGTTCTCTTTTATCTATCTTGTTGAATGTGTGGTGATAAAAGTGTGTCTTTGTCGCTCTTGCCATCTCTCTTTCTCTTTAAGTATGTGCGATAAATATTTTGTTTTTGATTACAAAGAAAGTGTGTCTAAAGTCGAGATATAAACCATTTTATTAATCTAGTCCAATAAACAGTCTTAGTTAGATTTTAACTCTCTCTTTTTATGAAAGAAAACAAAGTTGTATGCATTCTTTTCCGCTTCATTTGCTTTGAAATCTCAAGCGAAAAAAAAAATCTCTTTGTAAGTGCGACCTATTGATAAATAATGATTTTGAATGATGTGCCAATTACAATAAATGCTATGATGCCATAAACATGCACTAATCTTGTGTTTATTCGCGTCGAACCGCATTCCACACATGCACACACACACACATACGCACATATTCATAGACACTTTCATTGAAATTTGTGCTGAATTGAAAATCAAGACATTAGAAAATGCAATTTCATTGACAATTTTACGACTTCATCTTTATTAATACGGAGAATACATTTCGAAAAACGATTGGTACCATAAAAGCCCAAAAAAAAAGAAGATGAAAAATAAATAGTCATTCTGATTCGTATATCAACGAAATGAAATATTCTGTAATTCATACATAATTTCAATTGTTTGAATTGTGTGAAAGACTTGTGAATAATAAACGTGCATAGTGCATTCATGCGTTCCATGTGTTATTGTCATCTTGTTACGTGGTTCTATTTTTCTTCGTTTCCATTGAAATTCTATTATTTTATTTTTAAATCCATGTAAGTCTTTCGTAAATCATTTTTATTTCAATCAAAATGATCACTGAATTTATTTCAATTCCGTTAATGATTTTGTTCCCTCTCTCATTCTCTAATAGTCGAACATTAAACTAAATAAAATTCCGTATAAAGTTACAAGGTCGGACTTCCCCCTTTTTGAAAATAAAAAAAGCAATTTTGAGATCTTACTTCATGTCTTACATTGCTGGCACGTACATTTTAATTTTTCTTCCGAAAACCGACAACAACAAAATCGATGATTATATGAAGAGCAAAAGAAAATTAAAATAAATTACAAATTTTCACCAATATTTCAATGGGTTGTCACTGTTGCGATGTAATTGTTTTGTATGGCATCGTTGTAATAAAAGAAATTTTTAAGAATCACTGAGCTGAAAGTGAAGTTCATAGATTATATCCATTATGACTTCGCTCAGTCAGAGAGAATTTATAAATAATGAAAATAAATGTGGCATGCAGTGCACCATCCAGCGCTGATATCTTTCTCTTATTCGGATAAAATTACATATTCATTATGTCTTACATCACAAAAGGCAATTTAACTAATTCGTACAAAAGAAACACACACTCGCACATATTGTGGAATGTAAAATAGTTATTGCTTTAGTGCATACCATACCAGCGCTTTCTTCGAGAGAATAATGGACCCGCAAAATTTCTTGTGACTTCATATTATTATTATTGTCTTTGCATTTCATTCAAAAGCGAGAGATGCGAACGAAAGAGATATAGATTGAGGGAGAGAGAGAGAGAGAGAGGGAAGAAAATAAGTCAAGGCCACAAAGACCGATTTTGGTTATGATGAATAATTAAACCCGATAATCGAACCATAAATAATAGCAATGAAAAATGAAAAGAGAGTGAGTAAAACGCAAGCAAAATTGGAAGAAATGATTTGTTGTGTGGCTTTAATCATTCATACACATCTTTAACTCTCTCAGCGTATTTAGCAAGTACCAAAAATGGAAAAAGAAAAATCCGAAAGATCGAAATCTAGAAACCTTAGTAGGAATGCCAAATCGATTAAACATCACTTTTACTATTATTTATTTGTTCGCTTGTTTAACATTAAACACAGTCAAACGATCAATTCATGTTTTCTTTTCTTTTTTAGAAAATGCACTGTTCATAATTCTTTCAATACATACCGCACGTTGGACAGTTGGTATGCGGATGATTAGTATTGCGTAAATGCGTTCATTTTTCGTTAGTTTTCTACACATCTTCACCATCATGATTTATGCACGGTTGATTGTTGATTTGACTGAAATTTCTCAAATTACGTGATTGTGCTTGCGTGTAATAAAGCCATTGACCGAAAATTATATCTACATGTATGTTTGCATTTGTATTTGTGTATAATGGTGTTAAATTATGTTGTGTAAATATAATATGCTGTTATCAATTATTATTTACAGTCTTTCTCTTTTCTTTTACTTTCTTCATTTCTCGTTCGCTCTGCTCTTTTCCGGTGACGATGCCAACAAGGTTACATGTTGGCACATAAATTGAAAAGGCAACAACAAAAAAAGCAGAGCAAGGAGTTCTGCTAGTGTTTCATGAGAAGTAATATCTGAAAATCAATTACCGCTTTGGTTTCATTTGGTTCAAAAGATATCCATGAAATGTTGAATTTCAAGTGTAATAATAATAAAATGAAATTCTTATTAAAACCAGTATGACTAGGTAATAAATTGAAGAGCACATTGTTCAGTTTGTCGCGATTTATTTTAATTGAAAGAAAAAGAGCGACAAAAAAAAAGAGACTAAAAATGGTCTGTTTCATCAATAACATTTAATTACGATGTGATTGATTTACTGTGTGACCGTCTGAATTTTATATTTTAGCCAATGGACCAAAGAAGTTCTGATTAGCATTTCTTTAGAATTACACATTTCGAAATATAACCGCAAATGATTTGGCTTTATTGCCGGCGATTAACATGTTTTTTGTCCATATATGAAAATTTGTTGTCATACTTTTTAAGCCTATTGTAGCCTCTGTATACACAAAACAAGACAGGCGTCTCAAAAAGCGTCTCTCAATACCACCACACTTCAAATGTTTATACAAAAATCAAAGAAATCAATTAATCGAAATTTATACATGACAGAAGCAGAAGTAAAACTTAACAAATTTGACTATAATTTCTCGTTGTTTTTTCTCTTGCTCTCATTTGTAGGACGATAATATTGCGGTGAGCCATCCGGGTACATTAACTCAAGCTGTTTTGGAACTTGAGGAATATAGCCGCTTACAATACATTCACCATCAGAAGCAATCATCGTATGCACAATCGGAAGGCTATCACAGCTACGTATCAAGCACTGATTCAACATCAGCAACACCATTTCTCGATCGGTGAGTATCGTAACTATAGACGCATTGCCAATATTGGTGGCAAAACATCAAAATATACATGCATATAATGTCTAAAACTATGCCAAAACCATAAGAAAATCATAAAACAAAACATAAAATAACACAAGCGAAACAAACAGACAGGAGAGAGAGACCAATTTAAATCATACGTACAATTATTTATTATTAAGTTCGAAAAACAAAAACACAAAAAAGAATACAGCAACTGCATCACAACAATATTCATAATAGCATAGTCAATCGACCCTGAATAATAACAAAAACAATTCAACCAACCTAACAACTGAAGAAGAAACGATACAATATCACATTGCACTTCACTTCGTCATACTTGTACTGCAAGTCTTTCTCTCTCTTTCACTTCGGAAAAAAAAGTTCATCAAACATGCAAAGACGACGAATATCAGCGAAAGAAATTATACTGACCCAATTTGAATTCATCAGAGAGAGAGAGAGAGGAGAGGGAGAGAGATTCTTCGAAGAATTATTTCGTGTACATCACAGTTGCAATCTCTATTGTTCCATAAGCTCATCTCGTTCTCGGTTCATTGTTTCGTGCAATATTTGTAGTCTGCACAGTGTATATACAGAGAGAAAAAGTATGAAAACATCATGAATGATTGGGTTGGTTAGTTTTCCCAACTCACCAACTGCATATCACCTCATTATTATTTATTACGGCATCTTAAAACATGCAATATGCTGATGCAGCACAAGAATGAAACTGCCATGGGTGAAACGCCAAAAGAGCTTCAGCGCTTGGCCGAGAAAAAAAAAATAAATAGAAAGAACTAACGAAAAAAAAGCCACGACAACAGAACCTACGTCTAATGGAATGGTAATTTCAAATCAGCCCATAGAGTGCACGTTGAGTGCACCATTCCAACAATTGAATTCTAATTTTCGTATATATGCTCTTTCGCCGATGATTTCCTCAAGAAATCTTTCTTTTGTCGACGAATGTCTTGCGATATGGCGTCTCTCACTGTAAGACTTCATATTCGTACATATTATTATTATTTCTTCTTCTTCTTCTTCTGTTGTTGTTGCTGGTGTAATAGATACTGTGTGAGTTCTTATGACCCAGAAATTTTAACCCGTTTTTCATCCCGATGATATTCTCTCACTTCATTTCACATTCATTCGATCGTTTCGGCAATATTCTTTCACTGCTTGGCAATCAATTCACAATTATATGTGCAATTTATTCACACTTTTATTGAATGGAATATGAAAAAGAAGAAATGAAATTGCAAAATTTCCATTAGACGATTGATTTTTGTTCGAGATTAGAATAAATAGTTAGTTCGCGTTTCATAACTTTTAAATAAAAATAAAAACGTCTCAATGTCATACAATGTATTCCTTTTTTATGAATATTTACTGAATTGTTTACTATTTTTTTATTGAGTCGCGTCATTTTCTGCATACAACAATAATAATAATAGTAAACGTAAAACATTGCACTGCGAAATATCGTAACCGCACAGAAAATGATGATCGAACCAAAGATTCGACGGTAACGATTTTCTAAAATAGTTATTATAGGATATAATAGATTTGCATTTGAAGTGGTATGGCGCATCGGCGCACCAAATGGGCTAGCCCATTCTCGATTTGCATGTTGAAAACTTTCCTTTACTCATTGCATTCAATGGATTTTATTTTCAAATTTTTACGAAAATAATAATAATAATTTATGTCTTTCATAATAATTTATGAATGTATAACCTTTTCTCTCACTCTTTTTTGCGCGAACTCTTTCTCAATAAATATGTTCAAAAAAATGAAATTCCTTTGATTCACTTTTTTTTGTCATATGTGTATATGGTTACTTATGATATACATATTCGGTGGCTCGATTTGTTACCCAAGTCGCAATTGATATTCGTTTCTTGATTTATTTTACATAAGTAATAATGTCCTCCTTTCATCCCATTTTATATTTGGTTATAATACAAGATCAAATAAGACTATCTTGATCAATTTGCAATGATCGATCGAAGAATCGAGCGGAGGGTAAGAAAAGAAAATCATGATTTGATGCGATTTAAATCCGCGTGCGATTCTGAATCATTTCGTATAATTTTTGGTTTTGTATAAAATCGTGATTTGATTGAATTAACGAACTGAAAACAGAAAATCGAAATATAAGCACAAGCAAAATGCTGAAATCGGCGTAAAAAAGTATGCTCACGAAGTGAAAAAACACACACACACACACACAAAACAATGAGAAATGGTACCAATTGTCTGTCTTGTTTATGGAATTGAAATCATGAATGCGCTTATTTTTGTTAGTGTTTTTGTGTATTTTTTCGGTCTTAGTTATTATTTATTAAAGATGAAATGAAAGCAATTCAATTGCAAAATACTGTTCATAAGTTATGTCAAAATTCGGTTTGCTTGATGTGACGACTGATGGCAACATTTCTTTCCCTATTAAAATGATGTAAATACAATAGATTGATCAAATTGAAATTTTATCAATTTTATTGCAATCATCCATTTTACTGATGACACCAAGATAAGACGAAAACATTACAGATCAGTGATTGATGTTATAGCGGCTTTTCCAAGAATTCATTTGTTGCATTGAACTTAAAATGTCCGGTTGAAATTTCAAAAGATACACAGTGATAGAATTCTTAATACTCTAAAAAAATGCCATCGTATAAATAAATGATACGCCCAAGTACTTAATCCAATTGCAAAAAAAAAAAAATGCCGTTTACAATCATTAGCTTAGCATTATAACACGAAAAAAATAATAATAAAACGAACAAAGTTTGCCCTTAGATATCTCTTTTTCTCTCTTTCTTTCGCTCTCCGTTCAAGTTCAATCCATCAAACGTGTTTCCCGTTGACACATATATTCTTGGTTGTCTGCATAGTGTATTTGTTTCAAATGCAAGACGAAATTTTTTTTTTGCATTTTACTTTGGCGATAAATAAAGGTTTCTTGTTGTATTGAAAGTGCACTTGGATATCCCCGCGTGCACAAAAGAGAATAAACACACACACACTTCACCATTTTCAGCATTATACATGAATGAAAAATGCTGCCGGCTATTTGATTCTCTCTATAAGCTGTCGTAATTTAAGCCGTGTGGCAAGAACAAGAAAACGATCAACAAGAGGATGCATAGCTAAAAAGAAAAGAGAATTTTTGAAATTCCTTGTCAATAATATATTTAACGGTGATCCAAATTGCATGTGAGTAACAAATGGTACCGTTTTTTGCTGCCATGAGAACGGACTAGATGAAATCACTCAATTGAAGATATCTAATTATTTGGCATTCTATTAAAAATCACTTGTCAATTCGGTATATCGGTAAATTTTATGCCAACGCTTTTACAAAATTAAAGAGAAAATCATCGAAATCATTTTGCATATGCAGCACAATTCATTTATATCAGCTGGATCATTGAATCATAAGCAGAAGACTATTTTTTCTCTCTCCACTGTAATAAAACACGAAAAATAAACAATGAAATCGTTCGCAATACAAGCACTAATCGATTTGTACCAAACGTCCGCATCGGTATAACCGGTGACCCATATATTGTGTGTACAGTGTTATGTTTTTGTTGGTTCTGTTGTCAAATATACATTTTAGTAACACATTTGCGCTTGAAACGATTGCTGAATGCTGAAGGCAGAGGGAAAGAGAGAGAAAGAGAGAAAAATAAATATCAATACGGGCAATTGATCGAAGTCAAGCACGGCAAGTAAACATAGACTCGATTAACAATAACTCGATTGAATAACGCCGAGTCAATTCAAACTTCTTACTATTCAATGGTCATAGAGTTGTCGTGTATTTGTATGCGCTGCACAAACACTGCATACATTTTATGACTGACATTAAAATTGGTCAGACAATGTACTATTTGCACTGGAATTGTGAGCATAGAATGCGATGCATTTAATGCATATTTGCATTTTGTGTTAGGCTTCTGTTCAAGAGAGAATACACAGCCATTTCATTACTAAATAAACGAAATTCTATCTGTTTTCAATTCATTTGCAAGAACTACGCTTTAATACGTATACGATGCATGCACATTGACCGATTTGTTTATATTCGTATGAAAGTTATCACAATATAAATGAATTTTTAAAATTCATTCAACCGCTTTTCGAATGATATATAAATAATTGGTAAATTATTGCGACTTGTAATTGCTGCCGATGGAAAATTCGAAAAATCACATTTTGTTTTGCAGCTTTCAATTCTCATCTAGAATAATAGACATGAATGTGATGATCATTTAAAAGTAATCACGTAAAAGATGGTTTCATGATCATAAACACGATTAATAGTTATTTTTTCCATCGGCACTTCCAAATTCACTGGAAGAACGTCTGCAAAGTTTGACTCGCATAATTTAAATTGTTAAATTACAAAAACTAAACGTGAAATACAATAGATTCTATAACAAATTCCAATTATTCATTTATGCGTTAAAATCTTCAAGAGATATAAGCTCTAAGATTTCTTATCATATCGCTCTAAATAAAATTTATCTAAATCCTATAGCAATTGATTTCCATGTTCCATAATAGAGTAGTAAACGACACAGCTAAGTTATTTAGATCGTAATTTAGCAATCTAGTGAATGTGCGTGCGCGAATGATTGAGTGTGCATGTGACAACCATGACGGTATATGATTCTCGATGGGGTTAATAGATCAAGATATTTCACTCAAATAATGGCATGTTCATGTCGAATGATGTTTGATCGATTCGATTAACGAATAACTGGACAGAAATAGAAATGCATAAAATTAATGGTCAATGATTTTTCTAATTTTCGCTTTTGCCAGCAAAAAAAGACGAGAATCAAGATAAGTCTAAAAAACGCTAATATTACGGCATCGGTCAACCGGATGCTAATTAAACAGAAACAACGTCCAAACTAATCAAAATCAGAAGCTCGAAATTGGAAGAAAAAAACTTTAACATCTTTACCCAATTTTATGATCAGATTGGTGAAAATAGAGATTGAGTAGCGAAAAAACCAAATCAACTCCCAACAAATTTTCAAATACTAATTTCAATTGGAGTTTTTTTATGCTGATAAGTATCGTGAAGCAAAAACCACACGAAATTTGTATAAGAAGTTACATACTTTGTTCTGTTACATGTAAATGCTAGTGAAATAAAACGAGAATAGATCAAATGGTCCGTTTTTATTCGCTCAACTCCGTAACAGTTAAGATTGTTAAAGTATTTTCTTTAGATTGATGTCGATCAAAATTCGGAATATTGCCGTTGGATAAAAAAAAAACGATATGAAATAGATGTTAAATGAGGCTGAAGAAAAAAACAATTCAGCCAAAATAAAGGTTCAATCTACAGCATTTGACGTACGGTACTAAGTCACAACTAGCAAGCTGCTGGTTGAGTGTGCCACCTTGGATTGGATTGTCAGATGTCACCAAGCATTTTCTACATTATAAACGCACCAACTTATAGTTTTGCACAATGAAACCGTAATTACAACAAGTCGTTTCGCAAATTTCTTGGAAAATTGTCGGCAAAATGTAAGATGACTTAAGACCAACTACAACAACAACGACAACAATGTCGACAAAAAAAAAAACAACAACGACCAAACGATCTCGATTGCTTGTTCGTCTTTTCTTCATCAATGCTATGGGATGGTTTATAATTATTATTTGCGTGCCACATAGAATGGCGAACTGAAATGTGTGCGCAACTTGCGCACATTGTCAGTGTCAAGTTATTTGTGAGCATTAGAACATTATATAACAGATTTCATCCACAATTGATTAGTATTGTGATATGATAGTTGTCACTTAATTTAAAGCAATGCAATTGCTTGTTATTTTTCTCATTTCAATCGTTACATTCAATCGGCATCGATGGCGACGATGAAAAACAAAATAAATTACCGCAACCTTTTTCGTTTGAATCCGACAAATATCTCGCCAATAATCATGATCAATGCGAAATAGCTTATTTGATTCAAACGATGAGCGTATGTATGTCATTCAACGCTGCACATTTACAAACATTCACTCAAATGATTCATTGGCAACCATTGGTGTTGTGGCATTTCAGACAAATATCGCTGGTAAATATTGAACCACAATAATTAAGAGAAAATAATCACTTTTGATCACGTTCGAAATTAGCTATTATACTATTTTCCGATGAGTTTCGCTCCGACATTTACTATTTTCTCATAAAATTAGGCACAAATATAAAAGGGTCATCTATGAAAAATCAACTTTCATTTCCAATTCCCAATAATTTTGAGTTGCAAAACAAAAACAAGAAAAAAATAAAATTGTGGGCCAACGCATTCGTTCACACTGTGTACGAAATTATCTAAAAATGTGTGTAAATAATTGTCTCTAAGATGTGCGAATACGTGCAATGTGCATTCAGGTGAAGTTAAGTGAAATTTTTTGCTGAGCGCTTTTAATTTATTGAGTTCTTGCCATTGTTTTGATGTCATATAAGCATACGCGCATGCGCCCGCAATATAGCCAAAGTCGCCCAAACAAAAGCAAAAATGATGGCAAAAAAAACTAGCAGCAACAACAACAAAAATAACCAGTACACTTTGAAACATGCTTATTTATTATCGGCTAGTCTGAGCTCGAACGTGGGCAACGCTATAAAACGCGCTTGTAATATATACATTTTTGTGTGCATCTTCTCTTTCGACATGAAATGAAATCAAAGCGAGAGAGGTTGGCAAAAAAAAAAAACTAAAGAAGGAAGAAATAAACGGCCGGACAAATTAAACTGGCTGGACTTTCGCAAGATATGTGATAGTGCTTCGTGTGTACGCTTTACATGGTCATATATTTCGCGTACACAAGAGATGTGCCTGCTCTTAAGTTTTTGCCGATTTCTATGTTCTTTTCAAGCAATTTATTCCAGAACAACAATATTCAATTTAAAATACATTTGATCGACATTTCGAAACGAGTCGAACTCAATGGAATTGTATATTTATTTTTAACTCGCTAGTCTCTCTTGAGCTTTGGCTCAGTATTCTTGATGTTTTGTTGTTGTTGTGGTTGTTGTTGTTGCTGTGGTTCTCTCTTTCTCGCAAAAACCAATAATTTACAGCTTTTGTTTCACTTGTGTGTATTTTAGTTACGTTTTGATATCAAAAGTCGTCGATTTTTTTTATACTCATTTAATTCAAAGAAAAAAGAAAACATAACATTTGCAGACGCGTTACGGAACGAAAGAAAATAAACGGAAGAAAGTCCTGATTTCGCTTTGCAAATATTTGGAGTTGAACAGATTTGTGTCTTTCATGAATAACAACATAACAGCACCTTAAGATAAAGATTTTTTTTTTCCATTTGTCTATATATTTAAATAAACTGTTTTAATTTGTTCTTTTTCATGTAATTTTTCTTCTTCATCTCTACTCTCCTGCCTTAAATCTCCTGCGGTAACAATTGTTTCGACGTATAAATATACACGTTGAACGTGCACATCGGAACTCAATTGAATAATCGTGTAATTCTTTCAACGGAACGATGAATGGAATGGAATTTGCCCTTGTGTAAATGACGATCACAACATCATCCCAACATATCTTTTGTTTGCTGGATTTGCTTGTTCGCTCGCACATTTGCCTTTCAACTATTATGGCTATTATGGTCCATTGATGCACCGATTCTGATTGTGATTTTGATTGTATATGTGCATATGGCATATGATTGCGTTGGCGTCGGCGAAAAAAATAACACATATTATTCGATTTGTTTCAAATCTGTCGCATTCGGACTGAAAAATTCAATTGACCACACCGTAGACTGCGTCAAGAAAGTGAATTATTGTCAAGATCATCGTCGCAACATTGGTCGCAGTCCGATTTGCAATCGTACGCCTCCACAACAAACATAGCAACCGATAATGATGCAGCTTTTGTGCAATGCTCGGACAGTTTATCATCGACGGAAACACTAAAATGGTTGGGTTCAATGAGCGACATATCTTCATCAAGTCATGCAACAAATACTTCGCATATTTCGGCTTCAGGTAAATATTATCACTTGTCATCACATTAACATTTCTGAATTGCAAACATATGTATAATACGAGTACATGGTCGCCTCTTTTTATTTATCTGTTCGATGTTGATGTTTGTTTTTTTTTTTGTAATTCGCACCGTATGATGCCCTGTTTCAATCGTGTTGTTTGTGTCGATTTTATTTACAATTTTTATTTTATTTCGTTTACTTTTTGTTGTTCTTATACTTTCCCAGTTGTGTTAATTACATCGATATATTGAGCTAAATATAAATGAAAAGCAAGTAATGATTTTGTAGAATGCACTATACTTACCAGCTTATAAAATTAAATGGTAACTCAAGACTTGTCCACATACAATAGAATCGTATGCTATTTCATTTGTGTTATATCAGCGTCCTCTCAATCTTTTTGCCATCCCACTTTTATCTATCATTCTCTCGCTCACTTGCTCGCCAGCACATTTTCATTGGGCATGTTCATCTTATATTCGCGCTTATGTTTGTATTTTTGCATTAACATTCACTAGATAAGCACATGTATTAAGAAAAATTATAAATAATATTCGAATGAAAAGATAGAAAGAGCGAGAGAAAAAAAAAAACAAAAAAGTGAAAAAAAATCGAAGATACACACAAATTGACGCCAGTCAACAATTGATTATTATAAATTGCCAACCACACAGACCCGATAAATTTTTATCATCTCTTCTCTCTCTCTCTCTCTCACTCGCTTGTCCTAAGTCAGGTTTCTAGTTTTTTTATTTACTATTGTATGGTACCAACAGGCCATTGTTTGCGAGATATTCATTACAAATAAAATAATGGCTAAATATATATCCTACACAACTCCGCATAGACGCACACACACACACACACACAATGGCCTTAATAGCCTATAGTTAATAATAAATCGATTAAGTGGCGATTATATTTACCATTTTTGAACTGATTTCGCGTTGAACAATGCACATACAATTAAATCCATATATAATAATAGGATATTTTTCCAGATTCACACAAAATTATGCATGTTTGCGGCTTTGAATTGATTTCAAATTCAGACATTTCCAATGCGGCAATGCATACACCATTATATACCATTTCGTAAAATCGCGTCATTCTCGTTCGCAGCACATTTTTTTTATGTCAATAGCAATCTTGATGTGAAGTTTCACGACATGACCTTCTCCAACATTTTATCACATTTAAGGCCACGAATCATATCACGTACAAATGTACGTGACATTGTTTTGCAGCTACTAAAAATGGTGTATGTGTGTTTGAGCTCTTTTTTCTCCACTCACAATCTAAATTATATTAAATCTCTAAATTCGATCGTATTTTGTGTGCTGCAAATAAATGATGCACACGAAAGTGTTCATGAATAAAATTAAATAGGTGTGTGTGTACATCCTCGTGATTCCATTTCGAATGTCTCTCTATATCGGTGTATGTTTAAATGTACCATTCATTTGATACTTTGAATGCATCTATTTATGCCATTTCTCTCTCTCTCTCTCTATCTCTCTCTCTCTCTTCTATTTTCCGTTAAGCTCTAGTGGAATTATTTTAGAACTCGATTTTAAATTGAAATTCTGATGGCTTCACACATTCTTCCAGATATGAATTGTTGTGTTCGCAAAGCGAAAGTAATATCCTATCTTTTCGGTTCATCACTTACCGCCTCATAAATAGTACATTTAGGTCTTTTATTTCTTGAAATTGATGGTGATTCAAATGCGTTGTTAATTGGAAGGAAAAAACGAACAATCCGTTGCGAATACTCATCAAAAGAACGTACGATGCGTGCATTTATGCACAGAGATTCCGTCTTTTGACCGCTCTTCCTCTCAAACACACACACACACACACACGCATACACTTGCTTGCGCGCTTCTATTTTCCATTGTATGCGTATAAGACACATGCAACATCCATAATATGGAAGTAACACAATCAACTGAAAGAGAGAGGACGAGAACATACAATTGGAATAAACGAGGGCTCGAATTCAGGGCCGATACTCACTGTAAAATCGCGTAAACGATGGTACAAAAGTGGACAGAGACAACGACGAAGAGGACGTCGATGCCGCGGAATCTAGATGTACATGTTCTATCATTGAAAGAAAAAAAAAAAGGATAAAAAAATTGCCCGTAGGTGGAAACGTAAGCATGCAACTGGATATTGAAGTCTATTTTCTTCTCTTCGCATATATTCGCTCTTCGACACATTTATCCATCACTATTCGATTCTTTAAGCTTCTCGTAGAAAATAAATAAATTCGCTTTGAATCGAATTGAGAACAAAAATACAATGAAACCTCCCAAGTCTACACCAAAAATTTGATCGAAACACACACACACGCGCGCAACAATATTTATCCAATGCCAATCTGAAAACAATAACCAATTAACGTGAAATGGCCAAAAAGCAATCATGTAATTAATAGAACTATTTTTTAAATCGAATGTTTTTATTGAGTTGCAAAACTAGAAAGAAATTTAATATTGATCTCAAAATGTTCTATGATGGCTTTGTTTACTTAAGGATACCATTTTGCATGTTGTGTAATTTGGAGTGCGACTACGCACACCTGTTGATTGTGTTCATAATCCAAACTGAAATTGGAACTGCTTCTTAATGAATGGCACAATATTTGAGTCTGTCAGAGGGTGGCCTGTGCGCTTTGTATACATTTCATTTCAAATAAACAACGATCATTCTTTGCAATAGGCATTTATTGTTTATTTCAAATAAATAATAAAACTTTAGATTGAAATCTACTCGCTCAACAGATCAAAACAATTTCTTATTTGTAAAAGAGATGGAGAGAAAAAAAAGAGAAGCAGAACGAAGAAATCTTCAATTTGCTTCGGTTAGATTTAGTTTTGAATCAAATGTCATGTTTTCCGAAAGTGTTTTTTGTTTGCAAATCGAGCCGTGCTGAGTCTTCTTGTACGTGTATGCGCGCGAGCGTGTCTTTAGTTTCATTCGTCTATTTTGAGATGCTATTTTCTTCAACTTATGTTTGTTCGTTTGAAATCGCGGAATATACCATTTCGATGGCGTCACCAATGCCGGTGCCGTGGCTATTGTCGTTGCGTATCTATCGATGTTGTTACTTTGGCTAATTCTTTTTTTTTCTCTTTTTCTCTTTCTCTCTCGCTTCCTCTCTCACTCTTCCCCATTTTATATATTTTGACTGCAGTTCGATACATGTATGAGCACACTTTTTCCTAGCTCTTTGTTTAAATCAACGAAACCAGTTTGGTAGCATGTGACTGTGTAAATGTGTAAGTGCGCGCGGCATACACAAATTCAATCTTTATCTTTCTGGCCCGTATACCGACCGAGTCGACCCAAACAAGAAGCATTTCATGAGTTTCGCACATAGTGCATGCACAAACATGAATATAATGCTAGCGTCATAGAATAAAAATTGGCTCTACAGTCTACGTGTTGAGTGTGTGTAACAAAACTAAGTAGAAAGAAGCACTTTTTTTTGCTTGTTGCTATTTTAGATTTTCACACAAACACAAGAACGCGCGCACACGCGCACAAACATTTGATTTGATTTTTGCAAAACGCTTCCAGTCATCTAATGTGAAAGTGTTACTTTCTGCGAATGAAATCAATTTCATTTCCCCTCAATTTTATATATGCATTTATTTAAATCAGATGTTCTGAAAACGCCATTGATGACCATCAATCTCAACGTCTCTCTCTCTCTCTACCTCACTCAATCCGCATTGCCATTTAAATTTTAGTCTATTTTCTTTGTACATATGTTTAGATACTATGACATTTATCGAAATGTCTTAAATGTCTATTTTTTGCGTCATTGTTCTCAATGTTCGCGCACTGTTGCCATCGCAGCCATCGACTCTCTACATACAAACCGTGTACTGACTAAACCAAAAACCAAACTAAACACATTTTTTTAAAAGCTAAATCAGAGCAAAAGCGAAGCGTTTGAAAGAAGAGCAGTGGCATAAAAGGGAAATAAGTTGTGCAAAATGAATGTAATCCAAAATCCATACACACACAATTCGAAATCAGATGTGAATTGAAATCCATGGTGATGGCGGTGGCGGCGACGACAGTAGTATGACGGTAGCAACGCAATACATAGAACGTGTTTGAAAATTTATGGTCGATTCTTTATTTGTCAGAAAAGATAAGTGGATCAGACAACCAAGTCAAGGTATTTGGGAGATTCGGTGTGTTCACAGCTCACAAATAGCATTTTAGTTTTTACTTTTTATAAACATACACAAACACAACACACACACACACAAACAACATAGTTGAACATATAAATGGAATGATCGACGCAATATTTGAGAATAACAGATAAAGCACATTAATTCCATTGCTCGACGACAGCTCTAAATATCGAAAATCTGCTTCTACTTTTTTTTCGCATGCGCGCATTCCCATTGAATCGAAAAGGTGAGAAATTCCGAAACGGAAAAACTCCAATTGTGAACTCTAATGCGGCGTGAATGATATACATATATTAAGCAAAACCGAAAACAAAAGAAAGAACACAAAGAGAGATAGAGAGAGAGAGATAGGGAAACGACACCGAGAGAGACTTCAAAGAGTATTATATTTAAGCTTAATACGTTATAAATAAATGAAATTGGCATAATATTTGGGTAGCGATTAATTTTTCGTATAGAATTTGATATGTCATGCCATAAAACAAGGTTTTATTTTCTGTCATTTTGGTTTTGAATTTTTGAGATTATCAAACAGCGTGCAAACTGAACAAATGTTCTTTTTTCCACCTCAATATTTCATTATTAACAAATTAGCATCATATTTTGCCAAGTGTCAATATTACAATGTTTTTATTTGGTGCCAATTGTCTGTGCTGCTGTTTGATCTCTCGGCATTAGTACAATCAAATATGTTCCATTGCAATCAAATGCTGAATTTCAGTTAAAAACATACAATAGCATGTATGTTTCAGCTCTCTTATATTTAGTTATAAGAGTT